TGCCAGAAATATTATGTGCATAGTAATACAAGGAAGTCATATCAGGATCATCCACAAGGAGGCAGCAGAGTGCCAGAAATATTATGTGTATAGTAATACTAGGAAGTCATACCAGGATAATCCACAATGAGGCAGCAGAGTGTCAGTAATATTATGTGTATAGTAATACAAGGAAGTCATATCAGGATCATCCACAAGGAGGCAGCAGAGTGCCAGAAATATTATGTGCATAGTAATACAAGGAAGTCATATCAGGATCATCCACAAGGAGGCAGCAGAGTGTCAGTAATATTATGTGTATAGAAACACAGGGTGTCATACAAAGATCATCCACAAGATATTATGTGTATAGTACACAGAGTGTCATACCGGAATGTATTTTGGGGTGTAATTTCACATATACCCATAGTATGTGTAAGCAATAAAAGTGACATCTTTGTGTAAAAAAAAAAATTGTAATTTTCCAAGAACAAGTGGTAAAAAAAAAAATCTTCCATTGACTCAACATGCCTCTCATCAAATAGCTTGAGATATCTACTTTGGAGGGTGTTGTTATTCTGACATTTTATGCCCAGCATTAGAAGCTTATGCTGCATATCACCCACTCTTCTAACCACTTGAAGACCAAGCTTCTTCTGACACTTTTTGTTCACATGAAAAAAACAATATTGTTGCTAGAAAATTACTTTTAATCCCAAACATTATATATTTTATTAAAGTAGAGGCCCTCAAGAATAAAATGATAAATGTCGCAGCTTTTAATGTCACACAGTACTTGTGCAGCGAATTTTGAAACTCAAATTGTTTGAAAAAATACACTTTTTTGAATTTTAATGCACAAACACAAATTTTTTGGTAAAATATAAAAGATGATGTTATACCAAGTAAACAAATAGTAAACGTGACATGCTTTAAAACTGCACATGCCCCATGCAACGGTGACAAACTACATACATTTTTACTATCTATAGGCGATGCTTTAAAAGCCTTTACAGGCTATTACTTTAGATTGACACACAAGAGGTCTAGTGCTAGAATTACTGCATTTAACCTGACGTTTGTGGTGATACCTCACATGCATGGTGCAACCGCTGTTTACATACTGACATGGGGCTGACGCTTGCCTAAGCTATTGCGTACAAGCGCAGGAGGACAATGGTGCTTTAATTTTTTAATTTTTTTATTTCTTTTTATTGTTATACTCTCCCTTTCATTTTTCTTTCATTTTTAATCACTTTTATTGCAATCACAGGGATGTAAATATCCCCTGTGATAGCAACACACAGTGACAGGTATTCTTTTCTGAGAAATCTGAGGTCTATTAGACACTAGACCTCTCCTCTGCCCTTAAAGCATCTGATCACACCAAGATTGTTGTGATCAGATTCTTTTCAAATTTAAAAATGGCACTGTTCATATCCGTTGAAACCGAAGTGATGAAATGCTTGTAGCTTCTGGTTTCTTAGACTATAGAGATGATTGGTGCCATTTCAGTCTCTGATCAGCTCTATGGTCAGCTGGTCGAAATGCCGGCTGCATTTTCCAGTTCCCTGATGGGACGGGACAGCCCGATAGCAACCCAGTGGCTAATTGATGTACCAAAACATCGCTGGTCCTTGTTGGGCTTATATTTAGTTTTTTATGCAGCCTGTGGGCAGAATGAAAAAAGAGAAGAAATATCTGCCAGAAAAAGTGCATGGGCTGAATGAAAAAGAAGAACCTAACAGATTCCTCCATTCACATCGATCAATGTGGATGAAGAAATCTCTGCCAAAAACAAAAAAAACGTTAAACATACATGCTGAAGCATAGGAGAGATCCACCCACCGACCACCCGAGGCCCCCAAGCTTGGGCATATATGTTCTTTTTTTTTAACTGTGGAGGAGAAATCTCATCCAACAGCGCTGCACACACTGACGTATGTTCTGAGAGCACACCCTGTTGCAGTCAGAAAATACAGATCGGTGCTGCAGCTGAATGGCATTCCTGCAAATAGAACAATGGTTAACAAGAAAAGTGTGACAATAGAACATTAATTCAATATAACAGCAACTACTTTTGGCTTTTTAAAAATGTATTTTTACTTTTTACATTTTTTTTTACTTTTTTACACTTTTATTAAAAAAACATCTAATTCTGTGTTTGCTACAGATGCAACATCTTTTTTGGGGTGTCCTTTGGGTTGGGGTACCAGGAATGGCACCGGGAAAATGCCTCTTATGCAGCCAGCTCACTGCATCTGGGTTGGGGGTTTGGGCAACAGCACCTTCTAGATAAAAAAGGGCAGTAATCATGGACACAGAGGGGCTTCTCAACAACACCGGCTACCGTGGCAATTTGAATGGTCGTGTCTGCGTGAATGGAAGACAGGACGAAAACATCCCATTTGTCCTTCCATTTGACTGCGAGCAATTCATTGTCTTTCAAGCAGACTTTCTCCCCCTTTCTATGTCGGGTATTTACAAGCCGTTGGAGGTCACATGGTGCCACATGTGCAAATTCAAAGATTGTACAAATGTCTGAATAGTGGCACGCTTGAATAAAAATTGTCCACATATAAGTGGTACCCCATATGGAAAAAGGGTGATGTCAAGTCCCAAACTATCTTTCCACTGCTCCCCATGTAGTCTGGACATCCAGGGGGTACCATGTAACTATGTTTTCCCTTGTAAATCGAAAAATTACATGCATAGCCTGTTGACCTCTTACAGCATTTTGACCCCATATCTGGCACACTTGCTGGGGAGAAACTGAATAGAAGATGGCTAGAAAAACTAATGAGGGACTCCTCAACACAGATGTTTTGCTGGGGAGTATAGACATCTGCAGATTTATGATTAAGATGATTTATGAGGGACCGAATTTTGTGGAGTCTATCATATTCAGGGTCACCCCGAGAACGACAGAGTATTTTGTTGTTGAAATGCAAAAATCGCAAGTGACACTGCAGTGCTGGAATGTAAAAGATCAGGATGTACTAGGCTGCTGGTGCTTGCCAGTTCACCAAAAGGTAGTACGGCACTAGTACTGGCACTCTGCTGCTTATGAGAATCATCATGCAATTCCAACACCTTAGCAACCTGACAACTGGATCAGGTATGCCTGACCTTAGCAGGGACCTCTACCCCATAGTCTGAGCAACCCATGAGAGTGCTGCTCCTCTCTACAGGTTTGTATTCTGAGCCTGATTCTGTAGGTGAGGCTTCCCCTTCACTCTCATTAGTGTTGGGCTTGATGTACGAGTCAAACATAAGTTCTTTGTTTTTTTTAATTTAAATTGTTATTTGATTATTATACATACAAAAGTGATAACAAAATACTTCATAAAAAAACAAACAAACATTTTTTCCTTTTTCAATCCCTTACCCCCACCCCTACTCACTCCCCCCACCCCTCCCTTCACCTTCTAACTCTTTTCTCTATCTGTATCATGATTTCTTTATCTTATAAGTGGCACACTTTTAGCTTCTATACTTCCCCCTTTGCTCTAATTAATTCTATATATGTTTCCGAAGTTTTAAATCTCATCCAGTCACTCCATGTTCTCCTAAACCTTTCCATTTTATCCTCTTCCATACAACACAGTTCTTCCATTTTAACAATACTCTCCACTCTATCCATCCAGTCTACCATCTTTAGTGCCTCAGTCACCTGCCAAAACGTAGGTATCAAACTCTTTGCCGCACTAATTAAATAGTACAGTGCTTTGTTTTTGTATGATTGCATTGCGGGCTCAAAATAATAAAATAAACATTTCCACGGATCTCTCTGAATATTTACCCCACATATTTCCTGTATAAGTTGAGCTATTTCCTTCCAATAATTCTGTATATTCGGACAGCTCCACCATATGTGCACCATAGTACCCCTTTCACCACAACCTCTCCAACACCAAGGGGGGCTTTCTGCTTGCTGCTTATGGGCAATACTTGGTGTTATATACCCTCTGGCCATGCATTTAGAGTTCATTTCTACCGTACGCATATTTGTCTTCTTGTGTATTAATTTAAAGACAGTTTTCCTTTGCTGTGGATTCATTTCTAATCCCAATTCCTTCTCCCATTTTCAAACATACCCAGGGGGTTCGACTCCATCAAGATCCATAAGGATCTTGTATATCATTAAGGTGATGTGTTTTGGGGTTAAAAAGGTTTTGGGAACCACAATTGGGCTCAGGGTTGAATGTCTGCTGCTGCTCCTAATTTTGAGATATGGATTGCGTTCACGCCAGAAAATAATTACACGGACAACTCTCCAGTACAACCACTTTCACATCATCTCTGTTTATTGCAGGGCGGTGCTTAACCTTTTATACAAGGAGAACAATAGGATATACGTCACTATTATGTAAATACAGTCACATTCTAAAAGGCACATTTTGCTTGGCTGAAATATGGGAGAAGTGCAGAAACTTGATGCTTGCTTCTCGCCGTTATCTATTCACTCCCCCTCACTTTTTCAAAGCCCAAGTATAAGATCCTCAGCTCGAAGAGAGGGGTTGAGAACATCGCTCTGAACAAACAAGTTAAGGAGGACTGCAAAGCCCAGCAGACAAAATATATATATATATATACGCACAACACATATATATAGAAGTATGAAAAAGTATAAAAGTAAATATATATATAAAATGTGTATTTTAAACAGGAAACCGAATAGGCATTTTACCAAATCCATCACACAGTTACATCACCATTCATTAACCACTTGCCTACCGGGCACTTATACCCCCTTATTTACCAGGCCAATTTTCAGCTTTCAGCACTGTTGCACTTTGATTGACAATTGCGCGGTCATGCAAGATTGTACCCATATGAAATTTTTATCATTTTTTACTCACAAATAGAGCTTTCTTTTGGTGGTATTTAATCGCTGCTGGGCACTTTACTTTTTGTGCTATAAGCAAAAAATTGCAAAAAATTTTTTTGTTTCTATTATAAACTTTTTCAAACGGGTAATTTTTCTTCCTTCACTGATGTGCGTTGATGAGGCAGCACTGATGGGCACTGATAGGTGGCACTGATGGGCACTGACAGGCAGCACTGAAGGGCACTGATAGGCGGCACTGATAGGCGGCACTAATGAGGTGGCATGGATAGGCGGCACTGATAGGCAGCACTAATGAGGTGTCACGGATAGGTGGCACTGATATGCAGCACTGATTGGTGGCACTGATAGGTGACACTGATAATGGGTACTGATAGAAAGCACTGATAGGTGGCATCGACTGACATCACTGCTGGGCACTGACTGGCAGCACTGCTGGGCACTGACTGGCACAACCGCTGGGCACTGACTGGTGGCACTGACTGGCAGCACTGCTGGGCTGCACTGATGGGCACTGTTGGATGGCACTGGTGGGCACAGGTGGGTGGGCACAGGTGGGTGGCACTTCTGGGCACAGGTAGGTGGCACTTCTGGGCACAGGTGGTGACACTGCTGGGTGGCACAGGTGGGTGGAACTTGTGTGTGGCACTGCTGGGCACCGATCATCAGGGCACTGGTGATCAGTGACCCTGATGATCGGTGCCAATCCCTGCTCTGACAACTGCCGGTTTTCGGCAGTACTTTCCTCACGATCTGACAGCGTGAGGAAAGTGCAGCCGAGAACCGGCATTTGCATTTTCCCGGTGATCAGCGTGTCATTGGACACGGCTGATCACGTGGTAAAAGGCCGCTGTTATTGGCCTTTTACCACGTCACGTGATCAGCTGTGTCCGTAGGACACAGCGATCATGGAGATCGCCGGGTGCACGCCCTGGGGGGGGGGCGCGCAGGAGAGCGCGTTCTGGGAGGACGTCATATGATGTCCACCCAGAACTGGCCGGCCGCAGTGCAGCCGTCATTCGGATATCTGCGGTCGGCAATTAGTTAAATTATCAAATGGGTTCGTATCCTCCAGTAACCTCAATGGTTGTTCAAGACTCACAACAAAATGGTGTAACTGGTAATACCTCCATTCCTCCATCCTAACAAACAAATCTTTATTCTTTTTTAAACTTTGAAACATGCGTATTCTCCCATCCTTTATAATATCTTTCAAATGTGCATTCTTATCTTTTATCCAACTCCCACCTATTTTTACATTTCCAGGTGGAAAACATTCTGTTCCCTCAAGTGGAATCATCAGTGAATTAAATTTCCATTTTTTCTTGCTGTGTATTCTATCCCATGTTCCCAATACTATCCTAGTCAGTGTACTAATATCAACATCCAATGTGCGAAACCTGTGAGGTATCCATATCTTCTCTAATTGAGATTTACTCATAATCCCTTCCATTTTTACCCAACTTTTCCCTAATGAATTAAATGACCAATCCACAACTCGTGACAAAATTACCGCTATGTAGTAATTCTTCACATTTGGTAGTCCCAATCCTCCATTCCCCTTTGCTCTGCACAACCCCTCATAATTTATTCTTGGTCTCTTATTTGCCCATATAAATTTAGTGATCACCTTTTTAATTATCACAAAAAAGGCTCCTGGGAGGGAAATCGGGAGCATATGGAATTTATACAAAATTTTTGAAAGTATCACCATCTTCACCAAGTTTATTCTTCCAATCCAAGAGGCACCTCCTTTTGCTAATCTTCTCAACTCTTCCTTTATAGTATTTATCAAGGGAATATAATTTGCTTGGTATAAACTTGTCAGTGAAGTTGTTAATTTTACTCCAAGATATTCTATTTCATTTTTTTTTCCAGGAGAAATGGAACACTTTTTGTAAATTTTTCTTCTCTATTACTGAGAGATTGATATTTAACATTTCTGATTTTACAGGATTTATCTTCAGATTTGATATCTCCACATACTGTTTTAATTCTTTCATCAGATTGGGTAATGTTATTCTAGGGTTAGCGACATGGAACAACATATTATCTGCATAGGCAGCAACTTTATGCTCTGTTTCTCCTACATTTATCCCCCTTATGTCTATACTTTTCCTAATCCTCTCCAGGAATGGTTCCAATGACAAAACAAACAATAAGGGAGAAAGAGGACAACCCTGCTAGTGCCGTTATACATTTTAACGAACTGCGAAAGGGATACATTCACCTTTACCACCGCTGATGGGTTTTTATATAATCCCTTTATCCAGTTCATAATTTTAGGTCCTATTCCCAATATTTCCAAGGCATCGAACATAAATCCCCAATTGACCCTGTCAAAGGCCTTTTCCCTCCCATCTCTCTCTGGGACAAATCCCACCTGGTCCAGATGTACCCATTCAAGCATCAAGTCCTTCAACCTTGTTGCAAATACCTTTGCATATAAGAGTCAAACATAAGTTCGACTTGAGCATCAGCTGTTCGTGTGTTCGGCAATATTAGTAATAAGCTCTGCATGGTTGGAGATGACCAGGTCCAGCAGAGCATCATTCCCAGTTGGGGCTTCTATGAATTGTAACATAAAATTGTCCTGTAGTAGGTTTATACATTTCTGCCCTTTAACTGTTCCTGCAGTCCCATTACTCCAGTCACTTTCCGGGTCGTTACCATCCCCCATTATTATCACTGTCCCAGCCCTTGCAGCCCTTTCCATCTGTGGGGGGAGCTGAGTCTCCACCTCCTCATTAACACTGGGAGGCCTATAACAAACTCCAATGATTACCTTTGTAGTACGCCCCCCCCATGTGCAGTTCCACCCATAATACTTCAGCCTCATCACACTCTCCATCAACTAGGTCCTCTTTCACACTTGCTCTGAGATCACTTCTCACATAGAGACAGACTCCACCTCCTTTCCTATTCCAGACTCCACCCCCTTTCCTATTCCCCCGTCTCTCCGAAAGAGAACCTAGCCAGGAATATGAATGGCCCAGTCATGTGAAGAATGAAGCCAAGATTCAGCAATACCAATTCAATCCTTGTTCTCTTCATGCACCAAACCTTCCAACTCACCTATGTTACTTGTCAGGCTTCTGGCATTGGTGACAAACACTATCATTCAATGTCACATTTTGCTTTTGTGTTTTGGATATCTTTTTTAGTATTACAAAAATAGTACTATAATTTCCAGTAGTTGTTTTTAACATGGGAACCTTCTTATGACCTGCCATAACCCTCCCCCCATCTATCCCCATTCCACCCTCCAGTATTGTCTGACCTGTCTGGCTCGTTCTGGCCGGGAGGGCGTGGGACGCTCGTTCTGGCTGGGAGGGCGTAGCACGCACGTTCTGGCTGGGAGGGCGTAGCACACTCGTTCTGGCCGGGAGGGCGTGGTATGCTCTTTCTGGTCCATTGAATTCTATTTTACCTCCCCCTTTAATCCTAGTTTAAATACTCCTCCAGCCTTCCCATAAAGCTCTCCCCAACACAGCAGACCCCCTTCCATTTAGGTGCAAACCTCTAGCATATAGGTTGCACCCCAATGAAAAGTCAGCCCAGTGCTCTAGAAACCCAAATCCTTCTCTCTTACACCAGGTCTTCAGCCAGGCATTGAGTTCTCTAATCTCCCCGTCTTTCCTGAGTTGGGCATGGCACAGGTAATATTTCAGAGAATAACACCTTGGAGGTCCTTCCCTTCAACTTGCAGCATAGTTCTTTAAATTGATTCTTAGGGATCCTCCACCTTCCATGTAATCTGTCATTGGTTCCAACATGAACCAAGACAGCTGGTTCATGCCCAGCACCTCCCAGTAATTTATCAACCCTGTCCACCACATGCCGAACCCTGGCACCAGGGAGACAGCAAACCATTTGGTTGAGTCAATCCTGGTGACAAATTATTCTATCAGTCCACCCAGCAAGAGCCAATTCAACCAACTCTACAAAAAAGCGGCAACCACCCAACCTATAACTAGCCATTGCAGTACGGTGCACATGCAGGGGAAAACACACATCACAAACAAACAAAAGATTCCCTAACACACTTACCGTCAGCTTGCAAAACAACCAATTTAACCGCGACTGACCATTTACTTTAGTTGGAGCACAAATAGCAGTGGATAGATTAAGGAATGTGTTTTTTAACATAAATGCTTGGACAGGGTTAATTAGGTTGTTTTGCAGGCTGACTAGAAAATGTGCTGGGAAGTCTTTTATTTGTTTGTGTTGTGGGGGAACTCCTACGCCATTTTCTTTTAGTTTTTAACTGTTCAGGCTGCTTTGTTTACATTAGCAGCTGTCGGCTCCATAGAAACTGATGATTAATTTCAAACCTTTGTTAAATAGTCTGTGGCCAGGCAAAGTCATATTTAATGAATTTGTTAATTTATTTTTTATGAATTGAGTTTTGGATCAGTTTATTCAGTATTTACTGTCCGCTTCTTAATGTAGTAAATGCGACATAAACTGATAATTAATTGACATTTTCAATATTGCATGTGATATTTGGATCTTAAAATTAGTCACATGATCCAAATACTGCATGCAATATTGCTTTGTAAATTGAGCCCTGTGTCCCTTTCTGAGCTGGAAATGTAGATGTGAAGGGACAGAGGACACTGCTATGGGGGGCAGAGGATACTATTGTGTGGGGGAAGAGGGGCAGAGGACACTACTGTGTGGGGGAAAGAGGGGCAAGAGATACTACTGTGGGGGGGCAGAGGGGCAAGGGTCACTACTGTGTGGGGGCAGAGGGACAGAGGACACTACTGTGTGGGGAGCAGAGGGGCAGAGGACACTACTGTGTTGGGGCAGAGGGACAGAGGACACTACTGTGTGGGGGCAGAGGACACTACTGTGTGGGGGCAAGGGACACTACTGTGTTGGGGCAGAGGGACAGAGGACACTATTGTGTGGGGGAAGAGGGGCAAGAGATACTACTGTGGGGGGACAGAGGGACAAGGGACACTACTGTGTGGGGGCAGAGGGACAGAGGACACTACTGTGTGGGGAGCAGAGGGGCAGAGGACACTACTGTGTTGGGGCAGAGGGACAGAGGACACTACTGTGTGGGGGAAGAGGGGCAAGAGATACTACTGTGGGGGGACAGAGGGGCAAGGGACACTACTGTGTGGGGGCAGAGGGACAGAGGACACTACTGTGTGGGGAGCAGAGGGGCAGAGGACACTACTGTGTGGGGGAAGAGGGACAGAGGACACTACTGTGTGGGGGAAGAGGGGCAAGGGACACTACTGTGGGGGACAGAGGGGCAAGGGACACTACTGTGTGGGGGCAGAGGGACAGAGGACACTACTGTGTGGGGGAAGAGGGGCAAGAGATACTACTGTGGGGGGCAGAGGGGCAAGGGACACTACTGTGTGGGGGCAGAGGGACAGAGGACACTACTGTGTGGGGGCAGAGGGACAGAGGACACTACTGTGTGGGGAGCAGAGGGACAGAGGACACTACTGTGGGGGCAGAGGGGGCAGAGGACACTACTGTGTGGGGGCAGAGGGACAGAGGACACTACTGTGTGGGGGCAGAGGACACTACTGTGTGGGGGAAGAGGGGCAAGGGACACTACTGTGGGGGGGCAGAGGGGCACAGGACACTACTGTGTGGGGAGCAGAGGGACAGAGGACACTACTGTGGGGGGA